AGATTTTAGAGCTGACAACACACTGTTCTGCACCCTGAATATGTTAGTGTTATATTCAACATTAAAGACATTTAAGCGCTATACCGGTGACGTCCTTGACTCCGCATAAGACTAAAATAATCACATGATTTTAATAATAATAATAGGTCACTATCTAAAGTGGGCGAGCACGTTGCAAAAATAGAGGTTGGAGTTGAAGGAAATCTCTGTATAAACATTTTGCTGCAGATGTCTCATCCTTGGAACAGTGATCCATAAAAAGACAGCTCCATGCCTCCGATGTGACCTCTAAAGGTGAGATTTGACTCTACTGTGGGTAAATTGCAAAAGCTAGATGATTTAAATAAACTTGGGCTTCTTCTCTGGTAACCTTGGTGGGTGTTCTGCCGTGTCAGAGCAGCAATTTGTGTCAGCCAGGCAGATGTTCAGTGTTGAATTCAGCATTAGGAACATGACATTGCTTTATAATAAATAAATTAAAGTCAGTTTTAAGAGAAACGTGACAGGTGCTTATGATCATACACCACTATATTGTAATTAGACAAAATAGTCTTGGTTGACAAAAATGTATCGCTACAGAGTTCTCATTGTACCTTAACTCTGTAGAGGGGTTCACTGACTGCATGCGTTACAATGTAGTTAGTTTTTTTTATGTAACTACGTTGTAGTTAAATACAACTACAACACTTGATTCCAGCCTGGTTTCAGTGAAGAGTTCTGCCATGAGCTCTTCCTAGATAGATTCACCTTGAAGATGATGACGAGAGAAACTGAAACTACGAAGCATAAACCTCCATCACCTGGCATTTCCTATTTAGCCGAAGGTCACTGTACGCACATGGAGACAAAGGGCGACTGAAGGAGCTTTAGGTATTCTGTGAACATTCTGCAAACGGCCGAGAGACAGAGTAAAGAAATACTGCTTTTGCTTGGCTGAATGTGTATAAAGCACATCGGCTAAATAGAAAAATGTTGTGGTTCATATTATTACACCAGACAAAGCAGCTTTTCTTGGCGTTTGGATATAGTTAAACTCTTCCTTTACATTAATAAGTATAGCTAGTAAAACTACAATTTTACTAGCTGGTTGTTAGAGTATTGTGAACTGGAGATGCACCGATCCGATATTAATGTCTGTATCGGAACGACTGTTGAATAAAATTTTAGGTGGAGTATCAGTGACAGGGCGGCCGAACCGTAGAGAGGTGGTTCTTGAAGTAAAAAGAATAACTGTTATTATCTCAGTAGCTTCCAACATTTAGTTTCAATTACAAGTCGACCATTTTAACATTGCGAAGCATGTTGCAGTGAAAACTAATGACGAGCAGCTCCGCTTTCACGGCCAATTATTCACTTGATTATGATGTCGACTGCAGCCTTCAGGACTTTTAAGTAATGCAGGCTTTAATTATTGTCGTGGGACAGCTCAAGGTTTACTCTAGAAACCACTAGGTCAGAAATGTATTGATATTATACAACATGTGAGCCTCTGGCAGGCATATATAATGTTCAGGCGACCAGTGAGGTGGCATAAATGGATAAATCATGTAATTAAAGAATTGTATAAATGGATACTGTCATGAGATACTAAGTCTACCATCCTTGTAATGCCCTTCTCAATGACTCATTAGATTTATGGACTTACACTGTTGGTGGAAGAGAGCTATTTTAAGACTGTGGGACAGATACTAATATTCATCCACATCTGTACTACTGAAGACGTATGGCTTCCATATCTGGCCCAATGAAATCTGAAGGAATAAATATCTGGAAGAATCTGGTGTGGCTGCAGATAAGGATCAAGATAGAAGGCAAAAATGTAAAGCTATGAAGCATTCATTGAATAAAAATTTAGAATATTTGTAACTTGGACTTTTCTGATTTCTTAATTGCATCATCTGGAGGCAAAAAATTATTTAGAGTTTGATGAGTTTCATTACATTTCTATATCAAGATAATATTGCATTCTGAATTTGTCCTTGTAACAGTTTCTTGATTTCATTACGTGGAAATAAAAATATCTTGTTTTTTTTAGAATATATACTTATTTTACTATCTTGAGATAAGAAGACCCCTGAGTGTGATTTATTCTGAAAACGGCTTAATTATTCTAAAGTAACATGATCACAAGCTCACATCCTGGTAACAGTAGCTACAGTTTCTTTGACCATGTGTTTACGCAATTTGACATTTTGAAAATCACTTCACTTAATGGAACTCTTGTATTTGATTAAAAGTTTTGGTGCTAGGATGAGATGGTTTTTTGGCCGTGTTGCAATTGGTTTATTTTGCAAAATTGCACTTTGATTTTAATTGCGTTTCTCATTAAACAGAAACGCCGCATATGGGAAATTGTGTTTTACTGACATTAGGGCCAACATTGACAATTTTGCAAACATTTATAAAAACCACCATTTCAAATTCCGATTTCCTTTTCTAAACTGATTAATCAACAAAAACCATTAGACACTTGAATAGAATGGTTCTGTTTGGATATTCACTTGGTCCGACTGTAGTTTAGCAGAAGATGGACTGTAAATAGTTGGTCTCCATGACAACTGACTGGTAACTTTACCACTGCATTTGTGGTGCAAACACCTCCCGGCCTGTTCAATTTGTGCCAACTCGTTGAATTATTTAATCACCCATAACTGGTTTGCCTCATCAGAGCATTCCTTTTGAGTCCTTTTGAGTTTATTAATAAGGAAAAAGTTTGTCACCTTTGAAAGCGCTTGGAGAAATGTATTCCTTGACATACGCAACACACACATTTGCTGTCCCAGTTTGTCAAAGAGCCCTTGCTAATTAGATTGCAACACATGCTCCTATGCTAACCCGTTCAGGGTTTTTGTTGCTGTAAAATCACCCTACCCCTGAAACAGATCTGCCTTCCTCCATCCAGATCTCACCGCAGGAGCTGATACAAAGTATCAACTCCTGCATTTGCGACTTTACGGCTCCACCGGGCTCCGTGTCGGCTTTATGGCGAATAAGGTCTCGCCCTACATTCTCTTAACAAATGCAGCTGAATATATTACTGTGGTGGGCTCGACACGCTTCTGACCTGTTACTCACTTTGCCACCTATTAGAAGAGAAGCCACAAAAATGCTTCTTTATTTTATCGTAGAAGACCTTTTTTTATGCAAATATTTTGATAACAGTGTGCAGGTCTGACTGATTTGTGCTGTGTGAGATTCTTTCTGAATTTGTCTCATTCATTTGAAATCGAGGTTGAAACGATTAATCCGATGAATCATGGTGAATCATTTATTGTAGTAAACAAATTTAGTAACCTATTAATTGTAAACTGGCGTACAGACTGCAAAAAGTAAATTTCCTGCATAAATAATACACTCAGAGCAGTAATTGAGCCATTTTGTAAGATAAAAAACACCCTCTTCTTTAAATATGTTCTACCTAGAAATTCTCAAGTAGTTTTAGCTTCACCTGGTTGAAATTCTGTAAAAAAAAAAAGTTTTTTTTTTTTTTTACATTTCTGAAAACTGTCACAGTGTAATATGAGGCAGATAATCTGTGAAAAGGCTGATCTCCTTCACCTCCTTCCAGTACTATTACCACTGCTCCCGACCAAAATCAACCAATCAGAGCCAGCGGGAGGGTCTTAGCACTGTCAGTCAACCTTGTGTATGTTCTGCTCAGTGTACAAATGGTGGAGAGACAACTTATTGTCAAGCAAGGTATTTGCATGGAACCCAACTATTATGTCAACTCTATAAAGAAGATTGAGTGTAAATATCTAGTCAGAATTATTTGTAAAGTTTGTTGATGGGCTCAAAAGGCATATGTCCATGTACCTCCCATTAATATCAGATATTAACGGGAGGAACAAATATTAATGGGAGGTACATGGACATATTTGTACAATTTATTCATAATTTTGACCCTGTGTGAAATAGTAAAAGACCACATATTTCACCTCGTGAATCAGATTCTCTTCTACCAAAGAAACAATAACCAAGTCTTAGAGTATTTTATCTTTTTTTATTTCCAAAAGTGACTAAAATTTCTCCCGTCTAACGCGAAACATTAGGCATTCTACTGTAACATGTAACTTCAACTTCAATTGACATGTCATTCAGCTTACAAACTCTTATACTTAATATACTGCCAATATTTATCTGTGGATGAAGACAGAATACAGTGAGTTCATTCCCTGGTTTGGCAAACGGCTAATTCTGTATTTCCCTCTTCCCCCCATTTGTATTTAAAGTTCAGGATGATAACTGTTACGTCTTCATTATTTCCAGTTTTCTTCTATAAGATATTTTAATATCAATGACACCTGAGCAGCTACAAAAAACTGTTTTGAAATCATGTCTTCATTTAATAATAAAAAAAGCTCTCCAAACCAACTAAATCCTTTGTTAAATAACCAACTACACTCTACATCAAATATGTTTTTGCTACCTTTTGTTGGCAACTATTTCGACCCATTTGTCTTTTAATCCAGCCACATTGGAGAACTTGTGGATAATAACTTTCACTACAGCTCACTGGACACTCAGAAATGGCTTACTGACCCTTTCTAGGCTGATGGATGTGAATAACTTTGTTTCTAATTTGTTCTCATATTTCTCTATCTTGGTGTCCTTTGTTGCTTTTTGTGGATTTTAGCCTACTTTATGAACACTCCTTTTTGTTTTTATTTATATTGTCTTTCTAATATTCAAATTTGAAATGTGCAACAAATAAGCAAAAAAGGTAAAAATCTGCATTTTCACAGCCCTGTACATAATAGAGATGCACCGATCCCAAACTAATATTTGTATTGGTTCTGATATGAAAAGAAATTCTAGTTTGGGTATCGGAGACAATGTACCCGATCAATAAAGGCAGATCTACTCGGTCTAATTCTTGTCTTTGTGCGACTTCAGACTTCATTATTTATTTTACTTTGGCTGTTTACTGCTAATTGCACTCACAGAACAAAGTAAAGTTGTTTTGTTTTTACATATTTGACCAACCTTCTGAAGGTATTAGTGTAGCAGATTGGTGCATCCCAAATACATAACTCGACAGAAATGCATTTTTATGTGCGCTCCCTATGATTTATTCCGACTCTAAAACACACTGCTGGCTGTGTCGTAGTCCTTGCTTATATGGGACGTACTGGGCAAGGACTTTAGGTACTCCATGTGCCTCCTGGCATCCTCCTGGTTGTGTTTGATATAATACACAATGTAAGCCGTTACCATGAAGAACCAGCAGAACATTGCTACGAACATAGCCACATCCGTTGTTTTGTGGTGGAAATTGCAAAAGTTGATGCCCGAGTCCAAGACCTGGATCATGGGCTGTCCCACATACTCCTCCTGGACAGATGTGTGGCAGCTGACCTCATTGACCGTCTCCGGATCCAGCCTCAGTTCCCTCAAAACCTCCTGGAGGGAGCACTCGCAGTGCCAGGGGTTGTTGGAGAGGCGGATCCGGGCGTGCAACTTGGCGAAGGTTCCCCTTGGGAGGCCGCTGAGCTGGTTATTGGAAAGATCCAAGGTCCGCAGGCTGTCCAAAACTCCCAGGAAGGAGTCGTCGTCCACACTTTCGAGCAAGTTGTGTGATAAATCCAGCTCCCTGAGGCGCTGCAGGTCTGCGAAGGCCTCCTTCGGGATGTGCCTGATCCGGTTTGACGACAGCAAGAGAACAACGGTGTCCCTTGGCAGGTTGGCCGGGATGTTCTCCAGATTGCGCGAGGTGCACTGTACCACCATGCCACTTCTGTCTGAGCAGTGGCAGATCTTTGGGCAACCCTTCGCTGCAACAAAACAAAGTAACAGCAAAGTTCCTGCAAAGAAATAAGAACCTTGGGAAGGATGTTGTATGGAGCTTCTGCGCCTTTGAGAAACCCCCATGAGCTGTAGAGTCAAAGATCCAAAGAGTCCTTTTAAGATTCACCTGGACATTCCTTCTTTGCATACTCTCTAAATGAGAAATAAAGGAGCAACGATTGCCCCTGGGAAGAGAGTGGGAATCGCTTTGACAGGTTGAGCCATGGTTGTGACTTCAGGGTTGGTCTCCACCAACCAGAAGAAACCTGAAAATGAAAGAGACGCAAAGGGTGACAATGAATTTGTAATTCATTTTCCATGTTGAGCAAAAAAATTCTCACCATATTGTCTTTCTCCAATGGGTGGGAGAGGCCAGTAAAGTTCAGTATTATCATAATAATACCATGCTCTTTGGAAATTACATCCGATTAAATAAGGCATGGGCTCATCAATATGCAGCTGATGAACTTTAAAAACAGTGATTTGTGTTGGAGTACAAAGCTGTGGGTAATCTGTGAGATTAACCGGGACGTTTGCGACCAACGAAGGTCAGGGAGCGAATAAAATCACTACAAGGCACGCGCCTCATTTGCGAGTGTGGAGAACAGATCTGACGGAGATGATGGATGTCAAGCGAAATGATTTCACGGTGAAAATGACAAGAATATAAATGAGGTAAACGACTGATAACCAGGCAAAACACCAAGGGCTTTACAAAAGTATTCACATCCCTTCAGCCAGTTGCTGTTTGCAGAATGATTTATATGGTGATTGCCCAGGGCAGCAATAGACAGTGGAGAGGGTGAAAATATCTCTGTATTGCTCTTTGAACAGATTTTCTGTACCTTTTATGTTAAATTTTATGCCCCCTGCTGGCCACTGAGAATACAGAGACATTTTAAAGAGTGTTGCCTTGATTCGTCCATGCATGTTTGAGAAATCCTTTAATCTCCCGTGGCAACCGTTCAGCTGTACAAAACACTAGGATGGACCTAGCTCCAGCTTCAAGGACGAAGTTTCCACACTACAGAGCACCTTTCCCTCACAACTCAACTACTCAGATCCTTCAGACTAGCCAGCAGCAATTAGCAAACACCTGGTGAAACCGCACAGCTGTTGAGTTTATTACATGAGCTACGTCTCAGTGAAATGCTGGTAAAACGTTAAACAGTTTATAAGGGACCCATGTTGTGATGACTTCCTTAAGGCGGAGTTTCAGAAAGAGCAGGAGTTTCTTAAAGAGACAGAGCCCCAATTTCAAGATGTTAAATTACAAAGCCAAATTTATTTTAAGTCATATTTGATATATGTGGAGTTATGTGGCTGGAAAATGCATAATACTTCCCCCTTAATACTGAAGTAGAAAGAAAATTCTACATATTTTAACTTTTTTTCCACAAATAAAAATTTTAAGCCTGGAATGTTTTTTTTTTATTTGGCACATTTACTCTGATACCCATGAATAAAATCAAGTGCAACTAACTGTTACTAAAGTACTCTAACTAGTAAACAGATTTATGAGATAATGTGGGGGAAGGTGCTCTGGTCACTGTGGAGACATCATCATCACAGTCAAACATGCTTGTGGCAGCATCTTAACCTGGAGATGCTTTTCTTCAGCAGAGACAAGTAAGCTGGTAAGAGTTGATAGAATGATGATGATAGAATGACTTTTGACACTGTAAAATAAAATGAATAAAGGCTACAAAAGTCAAGAGCAGTCAGCTCGACAACAACCATAAACATTCATGGAGAGTTGAATAAAAGAAAAATACTTGAAAGGATGTGGGTATTTTTGCAAACCGCTTCTAAATGCATCAGAGATAATTTAGTAAAATGTGTTTTTATGGGCAAAAGTTGAAAAATGAAGCAACACAAAAAGGCTTTTTTTTAAATAAAATTTTACCTTTTCAGAATAAAAAAAAGCTTGGTCTTTACTTTTGTAGTAAAAATATGAACATGATTATTTGTTTCAGAGTAAAATTAGTTTTTAAATAAGGACACCATTGTAAAACAAAAAAAAAATGCTGTTAAAGAACATTAAAAAGACTAATATAAATCAGCCTACCTGGCAGCTCCGGATCGGCGTGCGTTCCCCAGCGGACGGTCAGCCTCCTCTCTGGGCTTGGCGCCGGTCGCTGTCCTCCTCAGGAGCTGCAGCCTCTCCGGGAGGCAGCATCCAGCTGTTTGACCTCCTGTCGGGCAGCAGCTTTGCAGCAGCGGTGCGTCTCTGGGTGGGCACATAATAGAAGCGTGTGTGTGTGTGTGTGTGTAGGTGTGCGGGAGGCAGATGGGTGTGTGTGTTGGCGCGCAGATGGGTCTCAACTCTGGCTTCCTGCAGGTTGAAACCCTGCAGCTGTGAGGCTCTTGACTTTGGCAGGAAAACGTTTCTGACAGCATCTTCATATCAGGATGGACATTTATGCTGCGGTATCAAACTTTCATAATTACATTTTTTACACATATTTAAACTACCATGTCTTGACAGTATGATATGAGACAGATAATCTGTGAATAGATCGATCTCCTCTGCGTACCTGAGCTGCTATTGCTGTCCGAAGAAATGCTCTGCTCCTGACCAAAAACAACCAATCAGAGCCAGGGGGAGGGGCTTAGCGCTTTCAATCATGCTTGACTCAACTTTGAAAATCTCAGATTCAGATTATCTTTATTGTCATTAAACTTTGCATCAGAGATGCACTAAAGAAGAAAATTACTATGCGTAATAGCTCACAAACAATATGTGTGATTTATTAAAAAACAGTCAAAAACAGTTTGAAGCTCCAAACTGTGTGAAAATATGTGTAGAGAGGATGAATTTTAAAGTGTTTGAAGATCCACAGATCATTCAAGAAACTATTATTCTTATATTAAAAAGAAAGTCAGGAAAAGTGATCAGTTTTTCCTCAAGTGGGATAACTACAGAGATAACTAACCTAGTCTATTAGCCAGTATGTGAAAGTCTTATCGTATCCTCAATGAATTTACCCGCTAATTTATCTAAATTACAACTTCAGAATTTATAAAGAAAGAAGGGATCGACAGACTTGAAAATATGTCATGTCTTTTCAGCTACGCTATCGGACTCAAAGTCAGCGCCTGCTCGATCTGCTGAAAGACACCTAAACCTTTATCCTGGAGCTTCTCTGCCTGTTTTGCTGCGCTTGCACTTTTGATTCAATGCAACCTTTCTTTCCGTTTGTAGGTTTATCTCATGCATGCTGACAGATTACGAAGTGCAAAAACAACAGAACAATAAGTACTTTGTGAGATTGGACAGAACGCGCCCCGGAGCGAAGCGGCTTTCCGTACACACCCCGTTAGAATAAATCTATAGCTGTCCTGTTCTCATGCTTCTGTCTATGACTGATTGTTCTTCCTCTCACTCTTCACAAACTTTGATTACAGCCGTCAATGTTTATGAATACTGCTCTACCAAACGCCTTCGAAGGCATACCTGCATATTAAAAGCAGGCAGCGCTTCTCGAAGCATTAGCATGATTAAGCCTTGTCAGTTTTCTGAAAGACATTGTTGGCGTTCCAGTGGCTGGACACCAGCTGTTTCTTCTTGCCACTGGTTGCCCTGGTTTGATCATTGATCAGTTTAACTCCTCCTGTCAGACTCCTGGCTAACTTCCAGCAGCTCATCTCAGATAAATTCATATGCCGCCACCCCGCCGGATCACAAGAATTTGGAGCTGAGCCAGTCCAGTCCAGTGTTTTTCAGCAGAGTAATCTCTGTAATACTAGGTAATGTATGAAATGTGTTTGCGGTATGAGCAATGAATCATGGCAGATCGCATTATTTCCCCTGGACAAAGAGGCTGTCTTCGTTCTACCCTCTCTATTGACTTTCTGCAGTCACTTTGTGAAAGCAGCTCCCCTCCAACGAATGTTGACCTCTTTAGGGGTCTATTAAAGCACGGCTGCTGCAGAGCTCGACTGACATTGGGTTTTTTGCTCACTCTGCTTTGGCCCGAGAGGGAGGACGCCAAACGTTTCATCATTGTGATCCCTTACCCTCCCCCAACATCCAAAAGGACTTGGTGACTGAAGAAGCCACTGGATATACGGCACGTTAAAGTAGAATTTGCAACCATTGAATTTTTTCAATACAAGTTTTGCTATTGTGTCCTATGAAAAACATAGGAATTTTTAGACCAAACGATGACAGCCAGTAATATACCTGGAAATAAAAAGTACTACTCAGCGAAAATGTAAGGCTGTGACATCAATACTCTAAACAAGACCAAAAACAGTCGACTCTTTAAAACAAGATATACGATTTTGAAATTATTTAGCCAACATCTGGAAAAAATATTTAATCAAAAACCATATCTGAGATGAACATCTATTTAAATAAGGTGCATTACTTATTGATGTAAAAAAAAAAAAAACCAAGGTCAGTAGGGGGCAACATTATGCTAAGCCAGCCTACAGCCCACCAGAAGTTATTAGTAGAAGAAGCAGCTTCTGTCAAAGCATGAATGTATTTGGCAATTACATAGATGCATGGCACCGCTCAGGAAAGTAGCACGGCTTGATATGTAGTCATATGAGACTAAAATTAAAAGTTTTTGTTTTAAATATGTGTGTGTGTATAAGCAAAACACCTAAAACAAAAAACAGAGGGATCAACCTCATAGCGAAAAGTGGTGGCGGCAGAATGATGCTGCGGGGATGTTTGAAGAGAATGGAAACGTAGCGGGTGGTGCTCTCTACAGAAGGGTGAGACATGCAGCTTTTTATCCGATATAAAAACAACTCTTATTAGGGATTTTAAGAAAAGATGCCATCCCTATGGTTAAAAAATGGTGGTGGCAGCGTTATGCTGTGGGGATGTTTGTCTGCAAACAAGGAGGAACGTGTGTTGTGGATCGATGCTATATAAATAAATTGAACTGAATGGATCTAAAGGGTGGGCAGGTATTGTATCGTTGATCATTTATTGTGATGAGTTTCTTATGATAAGACATTGATTTGTTGTTGATAGGATAAACTCCAATTAATGATGTTTAAAACCCCTAAAACTCTCCATATTGTCAGGATTGTTATTTTTGCCCCTTTTTCCTCAACTGTTTGCTCAATAAAGGTCATATCAATTCATTTAAAAATATTAAATGCAGTTACTGTGAGCACTTTAGTGACACAAATCACACTTCTTTAAGTGTCATTTGCTGTCCTAAAGAATGATATTGCAAATGTTTTTGTTTTTTTTCTAAGAGTATTATTTGTGTTTGTGGGGCAATGATTGCTGTATCAGCCATGCGGTTGCCTAAAATAGAAGTAGCTCTTATCACTTTTATCGTTATCACAATACTACCACAAAATATCACGATACGGTGGACCCTCGCCCGTTTCCAGACTCATCGATTCAGATTTGTCTTTGGGATGTAACTCCAAATTATTAGAAGGAAATTTGCATATTTACATTTTCTTTTTAGAGCACATTTAAAATATTTCAAAGACAACGCAGCTTAGGAAGCTGGAATACCTGCATACATTCTGCAGTAGTGCTAAGGCTGTTTCCACTGTGGGTATTATTGCATATTAATGTACAGTTTTTAGAGTGGTCCCTGTTTGCGTGATTACTGGGAATCCTCTGCGTAATAAACATTAATACTAAATGTTCCAAAGTTCAAGGACTGCCAGTGCTTTTATGAAACAGTAAATTTCTCGCTCTGTTTACTTTAAAATCTTCAAAACAACTTTTAGAGCTTTGCTTTCTTTATTGCTTTGACATCAGTCCTCTGCCTGACGAAGAAGGTTGTCACTAAGTAGCTTCTGGCACTGATGAGTGAAAGCGTGGAGCTGCTCCAACTCCTACTCAGAGCCAACACCAGGCCAACTTTCAAGGCAAATGTAGCAAAGCGTTTGCCTTTGGATGGCTGGAAGAAACAGGTGATTCATACTAGTGTTGTTGAGAATCGGTTAGTAAGGAGACGCCTATCTGAGCTGAGTTAAAATAATGAATGTTTACTTTGTGAATTGAGGTTCTTGACATTTCTGCCAAAAGGAGACGACATAGTTGCACCATTATCTCCTGCATTTACCAGATAACTGCTTTTATTTTCACTTAAATGTGCTTTATACCTGTGGTTGTATGTTGGTTTAAAATACAAAAAGACAGAGTAAAAGGCAATGTACTTCAATGTACATGTGCGCGTCATCATTTATGACTATTTTCTGCTACACAGCCCCCACACCACTTGTCATTCTGATTAAACCGTCATTTTGTTTTCACTGAACAAAAAACCCTTTCTGTGTCTTGACGAGAAAAATGTGCCTTCAGTTCACTTGGAAAGGGTTTTATTTCCTTATGCTTTTTTTTTCTAAATGTTTGACTTGTTTGGGCTTGTACATAAAATCGTCTGAGTATTTTTGTGTTTTTTCCATAAAAGTATTCTGTATTTTCAGTTGCTGGGTTTGCACAATAAACCTCAGCTACAATTCATTTATTTGTGAGATAAATGTAATTTCTGTGTAGTTTTTTCCATTATTTTTACTTTAGCTTTAGTTGATGCTCCTTCTCCTCAACAAAGCCTTACTGTTTGCTCAGTATGAGCCATTTTGATGAACATTTTCTTCTCTCCAGAAACTTTCCTTGAGTGTGCCAGATTGCTTTCCCCCTCTCCTCTCCCGCAGCGTTTTCAGTCTCCTTCACACCGTTTGCTCCCCTCTTGACATCAGTTTGCAGGGAAAATGAGAAACATTGGCCTCAATTTGCGACACATCACTACCTGTGCACTGGCAGGTTAAATTCCCAAACCTCTGACCCGAATGTTTAACAAAGAAAACGCTCCTTTTGTCTTTTTCTCCGGGGAGAATGTGTGGGCAAAATCATTAAGGGACCAAAACGCAGAAAGGACTTTTTGCAACTCATTTAAATAAAAAAAAAAATAAATAAAAAAATCAACTGGATTATTCTGTACCGGGTAAGGTCGGTATTCTTTGCATATTGTTGCCCTTTTTTAGTGAAGACATAAAGAGAAAATGATTAGGGTTATAATAATATAATAATAATCCGACTACAGGTGAGATTCTTCTCCCTTGAGGCCAAATTATGTTTAATTCAAGTTCAAGTTGATTCAAATAAGCAATAACAACTCAGTTGTTATTGTTGTATGTGCCATTAGCATAAATATTTTTGTGATGAATTTTTACTTGTTGAGATACAAAAATTTGTAGTAAGATTTTAGCTTATTACCTTGCTGTTAGCTTAATTAGTATTTACAGTGAACCCCTGTCGCCCCCAGAGAAAAACAAATCTCAGAAGGAAAAAATTTAAACTTTATTTGATTTTTATTCTTACCAACACTTTTAAATTAAAAGCTATGCAATTACTCACAACTAATATAGATCTGCACATGGCAAATAAATCAATTGAAAATAGTTACAAAGTTCCATCACCCAACCTTCTTCCCCCCCAAACTGCAATACACATGAACAAAACTAACAAAAAAATCTGATGAATCTTTTTTTTTTCCAGCCGTTACTTCCACTCTAAATGTTGATAAAATAAAAGCATTTTCAACAGGCTACACAGCTCTTCTGTATCTACCAAGCAAATAAAGAAATAACCGATTAAATAATTGCACATTGCACATTATTATTGCATTAGTTGCAGTTTGTTTCAAAGTTGTGGCATATACACAAATGTAAATACAATTTTCAAACACTGAGTAACACATGAATACTGATGTTATTGAACTCGCACTGCCGTGACTTAGCCTTACAACTTAATAGCTATGCTTTGCAATCAGTTTCAAAATATACAACAAAACCATTTGTTTAATGCACACTCAGCTGTGATAGAAACAGCTAATCAGTACTGATTGTTAAAGCGAACATTTCAATCGTACACATGCACTAAAAACCGTTGTAAAAAAAAAAAGCCACATCAGCCTCCAGGGTATTCTCTGTTTACGTGTAACGCAAAAAGAAATCCCTGTCTGGTATTAGCAAACTGTCCTAAAAACATAATTTCTTTTTTTTAAAAGATTAGACAAACATTCCCACTTAAATACAAGAAATTACAAGAAAAATGAAAAGAAACACAAATCCATTCAAGACTACCACGACTACTTGATTAAACATTAAAAAAATAAAGAGTTATTGCAGAATAATCATTGACTGTGTATCTTTTAGTAGATTTAAACAGTATTTGGTCCATGTACATAGTCACATTTTGTTATCAAAGCACTGAAGATTGAGAGGAAAAGTGAGTTTGGAAAATAATGTTTCGAGCTGGACATTACTTTTAGTTCTCTGGCAACTTGGCATAACTACTACCAATGATGACAAGTAAGGCAGCTAACAGATTGCTGTCAAAATACTTTCAAAATTTGTCAGTATTTGATCTGATGCTGTAGTATTCACTAGAATATTAAACTTGTAAAAGACAAAAATCCAAACTTAGGTTTAAATGTAGACCTTTCTGGGTTTTAATCAAGAAACATAATAACAATGCCAGTGCTAACTATTCTGCTAGCTGGCCATCAGAGGAAAATTTTTCAAGGAGTGAAATTGCTTTAGAAACATTAATGCTGATTATTATTATTATATGATGGTAGAAGAAAACTTTTAAAACAAATTTTACAAGTTACAAGTTTTAGAATTTGGACTTTCCTGGCTTTAGCTTAGTCACAGCCAGTTTAAACTAGCCAGCCAACAGAGACATTTTTCTAGCAAGCGTTGATGTTATTTTGGAAAGTTATTAATATTAATTTTGTTCATATAATTCACAAAATGTAACTATCAGAACTTTTAATGGATTTTAATTTAAAATTTTTCTAAATAAAAGTGCAACAAACTTGGAGCTAAAGCTAATTTTAATTTCTATGGTAGCCAATAAGCACTAATGTTGTTTAAGAATGGTGATGACTTTTAATATGCTGTTTAATTAGTTAAAAATATTCGCAAAACTGTAACAACTTATGAAAATTCAAAAATTTCTTATGATGGATTTATTCCACTCCCACTATCCCTAACAACCATTCATATTAAAGGAAATGATTCATATTCAGTGTGATGCTTGACTAGTTTAAAATAAAAAGTGATCACAGAAATTCAATAGCTTATAAAACATTAAATTACAGTTTCTGGCTTTCAGACTTGGTGTTGGGTAGCCTAACATTAGTTAGCCTAAAAATAATTAGATGTAGATTAATACATTTGATAGCCATTTTCTATTTCCGGTGTAATACCAATTTAGCTGAGAGCTAGCAGTGACTGATGTAGCAGTAACAGTGTTCCCAAAGGGTCAGATTTTTATTTTTGTAATAAATTTACCACTAGAAATAAAACGATATTGGTGTGTGTAGGAATAAATCTACTGCAAATGCAAAGCGTTTGTGTTAGAGTTGATGTGCTTCAACAACAACATTCAAGAATTGTTCAATGCTGAACTGAGCTTAGCACAGAAGCCCTAAAAGGAGATCACCCAAGTTGTTTAGCATCTGTAGAGCATCCTGAACTATTATCATATTCAAAGGATAGTTGAATTACTTAAGTTGACCAAATATCACCCACACCTCCTTCTCATATTAGGTACAATACAGCAAAAACAAACTTAACTTAGCGAACAAAAAAAATATATGTGCATCACAACACTATAGATAAATACATCTTGGCTTAATGAAAAACCAGCAAAGCAGAAATTGTCATCCAACTTGTCCTTTACAAAAACAATTAAGTTGCCGACGTGGTTGTGACAATGAAAAGACATTCAAAACTAAAGCGTCAAATCAACTGCGTGACGATGACAAAACATGACAAGATGAACAATCGTGAAAAAGAGACTGAGTGGTCACGTCCGCCCAGGCCCTGTGGGTTCCCCCCAAATGAACCCCTGAACATTCCTTGGCCCCAAAAGTACCATGTGTCCAAACATTTAAGCCTCTTCAAAGTTGGCCGAAAAACCCTAAACGTTTGGACAGCACCTGACTTTGAAGTCCAACTAATCCTCCCACACCAGAGGCAGTCCAGAGTAAAGTGTTGAGTAGTCTATTGCATGAGCGCCGCGTAGTCGACTTATGTGACAAGTCACAATAGTCCTTGTACAAAAGAAAACATAAGGTAGTAAACAATCATAAAAATTTTCCCGTCAGTGTTTTAAGTCACTGATTTTCACTAATTCTCATCCATGCATCTACAGTATATAACTACGATTAATCGGTTTTCAGAGGAGGCGATGTTGGAAAGTTGTTCTGTCTGGGCGGGGAGTAGGACTGGACGTGAACGGTCGAAAATGCTGCAAAAGTTTATGGAAAAGAAACGGGGTCACAAAGATATGACAACAACATTACATGAAGCACAAACACGGAGCAGGTTTGTTTTTTGTTTTTTTTCTACTCAAATACGCAACAACACAACACTGAACACATGCAGTATAATCAATATTGTAAATAGAGGAAATTAACATGAGAAGGGAGGCTGGAGGAGTGATGCCATTGGCTTCAAAGGGTCATGTGATGCTGCAAAGAGTCTTGGGCAGAGATTTGACAAGGAACAGTCCAAATTTTTTATTTTTTTTTTACTTTTGAAACTATGTAATTAAGCTCGAGTCATTTGGCTACATCCCACCACACACTCTGCCGATAGCATCACTGAGCAGCTGTTTAGTAATATACAGATACCTACGTTCTACAGAAATCTTCAGTCGTTTGCTAATACTTTTTAAATGTTGTTCTATGACGCAGCAATGAAAGATATTTAGAAAAGCAATAGACGAAAAGAAAACCAAGAAAAATGAACACAGATTGTTCTCCTAATAAACATTCAACATGCTTTAACAGTTCTCTAAAAAAAAACTAATCAACAGTTTTTTGTATGTCTTTTTTTTTTTTTTTTTTTAATCTTTGATTTAATTTGGCTTTCTGAAATATAAGCGGCCACCAAAACCTCTCTGATCTAGGGTAAACCAGAGCAGTGAGGCGGTCAGGGATTTCGGAGAGCCAGAGCCAGAGTCCGAGGGGCTTCATCAGGGTTGTCTGCGGTAGTCGGTCATTGGAAAGGGCCAAACGGAGGAGCCAGTCAGGGATCTCAGGATGTGGTCATGGATGATGGGTCGTTCCACATGGCAGCCACGTCTCTGAACCTACAGGTTGATTGCAAGTTAGATTTTTTTTTTTTTTTTTTCACCCTTTGCTCAAAAATAGTAGAAACTTTTAATACTGAGCTCTCGGACCTTGCATTAATGAGATACTGAGCCAGGCTGATGTTGGCAGGGGTCCCTGTGATGGTGATCTGGCGCTCCGATGACCCTTCCATGGCATTAGCAATTTTGATCTGCGCCCCAGACATCTGACGGATCTCGTTGATTTTGGTTCCCTGGCGTCCGATTATGCAGCCTATTAGCTGGGAAGAAAATGGGGCAGGAATTAGGATGGCTAGAGCTTTGAAAGTCCTAACACTTTCTACATGAGTACAAGAATTGGCTTCTGTAACAATACTCTCTTTTAAAACAAGAGTGTCCAAACATTTTGTCATTCGGACAAAATTTTCAGTATGAAAGTGCTCAAGGTCCCTGGGCCACACTTTGGACACCCCTGTTTTAAAACTCCCAGATGACGACAAAAAACAACAACAAAAAACACACAATTTCACAATTGAGTTTAAAATCACATATGAATGATCTTGTTGACATAAGTCATGAAAACTTATGACGGCCATTGGCGTAAATATGAGTTATATCATGTCTCAGCCACTGCACCAGTGCTCATCCTCTGCCATCAGAAGAGACTATTACTATTGCCGTTCTAGGGAAATTGTAGTGGCCGATTTTACAGAAGAGCTATGGATTCACCGGTTTAAAATGACAAATTCTGGTGGAGATAGCTGTGCATTGATCAAGGAGACTAGTGTCTACAGTTTATGGCACTGCTGCTGAATGCAAACCGGCATGATGTGAAAATTTGTCTCTATTGCAGTTTTGCAAAATACATCAATTTCAATATGGCTAGAAAACCACTTCATTCCACTGTGAAAATGATTTATTGGAAAACGAGTCTTCTGGCGTGTTTCCTCTAAGTGAATTTATTTCCATAACTCCAATTTGCACAATTTTATGGTCAATGGAAACACAGCTATTGACGTGCACATTATCATAAATCTATACTCACATCATTGGGAATGGTGAGTTCATGAGTACTGGCCTGGTTACTGGCATCCAGACCTGCTGCTGAACACAGGAAGCAGACAAAGAAAAGGGGGAAAGCAAAAGGACAAAACAGTTTGGCATGTTGAGGGAACAAGTCGTGAACTCTCTTTACAGACTTCTAGCAGTAACTGAATCACACAAGCGTGGCTCAGGCCTAAGCAAAGCCCACATACGTCATTGCCTGAGGACCTTGAGTACAGTTAACTCAAAACAAAAATCTATATTAGTTTGTATTATTCCAAAAGAATTACTAAGGGAAAACCAGACATCGAAAGAAACCTCAACATCAACAAGAGCAGACCACCAGCAGGCCATGTCAATTGCAGTGCACCACAAAGACCAGTAGGAAAAAAACGACAAGAAGAACAAGAATGAAGAATAAAGAGAGAGGACAGATCCAGCCAAAGAAGAGAGAGAGAGTGAGAGAGAAAATAAAGGAGGAAGAGAAAGTGTTTTTCTCTACAGGTAAAAACGAGAGAAGGATCTTCGGTAAAGAGGGTCATTGTGTAGAGGTGGGTACGTACCGGGGAAGGCAGGGGTGGTCTGTCCGAGGGGGGTAAAGGGGGTTTGCTGCATAGCCAACTGGTGGAGCTTGCTCAACTGCTGAGGGGGGGAGGAGGAGGACAGCAGAGCTATGAGGTCATCATTAAAAACCCACTCCGGCTCGCACACAAACACACACACACAGACAGACATAGAGAGTTATACAGAGGTCTGCTGGAAATGGCACAAAAGAAAAGAAAGGAGCTGAGGAGAAATAAAGAGGCGAAGAACAAAAACCAAAAGAGACGGAGAGCAAAACAAATTGGAGAGAAGGAGCATTGGACTTGGCCTGATTGGAGTATCCTTGGTTGTGTGAGTTGGTAGGACATTTAGTTGTTTTCTCTAGAAGCTGTGGCAAGAGCTCTGTTGTATTCCTAGCAATGTATTCTTTTTAAAGCTTTTCTTCTTTGTTTACAATTTGGAAACATTTTCCTTTTAGCTGCTGGTGTGATGCATAGCCTCCTTGATAAGGGAAGGGTGCTGAATCAAAATTTCAGTAACTGAAACAAAGGGAGATAAAATCATATACATAATGTGTATGCACAGGATGTGTGTATACATCCTGTGCAAGACTGACTTTAGGCAAAGTGTAGTGTTTCTCTGCTCTTTGTGTAAGCCCATTGTTGCAGTGTAAGGAGATGGTTACAGCAATGTTTCTCAACTCCAATGTATTCAAGACACCAAAATACAGATTTTATGGAAAATGAGGTCAATGGAAGTGTGGATAAAACAACGGTGTATTAGGGCCATTGTAGATGGATGTAGAAAGGAATAAATTTCTACCAAAAAACAAAAACAAATTGTAATAAATCTTAGAAAAGTTGTATTTAAAAAGAAATTTTGAATTTTTCAAATTTGAAAAGTCCAAAATTTATTGAAAAAACAAAATACAATAGCTCTTTGAACAAATTCATACGGTGAGAGTTGTGACTATATTTAGTTTCACTTTGGAATACTTATTCTATAGGTATTCCAAAGTGAAACTTATTATTGTTTAGTTCCATGTTGTTTTTTTCGTATAATCCTTGATAGAAGTGTCTTCATTTTACTTCTAAATAAACAGAAATAGATGTATTTCTAATAAAGACCACGTTTGATTTTGCTACTGATTACTTAACGTTCGCATAACCACTGGTAAATTATCAAAGTTTCCCTTCAGGCCAAGCCTCATGAGATTTGAAGCAAAAGAGAAGGCAGGTAGCCAAGGAGCTATAAAGCCAGTAGAGAGGAAATGCACATCCATAAGAAAAATATTAATATTATTAATTAATATTAATAGGGTGGATAGAAAGATTGATGGAGAGTGCAGCGTTGACTGCCTCGTGGGGTTAGCACTCACATCTGGATGAGGGATGGCGTACTGTCCTTGAATGGTGTAAGCCTGTGAACACGAAGAAAGGAGCCGGCCGTTATCACGTTACTTTGACTGACCAGACACAAAAACCACATCGAAATGCAAAGAGTACAAACAAACCGAAAAGCTGAAATTGATTTATATTTGTAGCCGTATGACGTAAAGTCATGCACTCTAGACTCAAATCAGTCCTGCTTCTATTCATCAGTCAGATCCAGTTGAACTCAAATCAATAAGGAACGACTCGGACAGCAGGGTGGTGACTGGGAGAGTGTGGAGAAAACCAGAGAAGGAACCCTGACAGGAGCGGGGTGATTGGTTCACTGGTTGTGTTGCGCTTTTAAGGCCGCAGAGGTCAGAAGTGAGCTAAATTAGATTTTAAAAGGAAAAGGCCTCAACCGCACATACAGGAAAACTGATTTTAGAGGAAAAAAGGTTCAATCTTGACCTAAAAATTTATGATTTATGTCATAGGCTTATTTACGTGATTTCTTGACTGAGATCTGACACTTTCTAATAAGGACTCCTTTTGATTTTGCTACTGATTACTTAACATTTGCATAACCACTGGTAAATTATCAAAGTTTCCCTTCAGGCCAAGCCTCATGAGATTTGAAGCAAAAGAGAAGGCAGGTAGCCAAGAATGTGGCTTGTGAAAGTAAACTTCTCTCTCCAAGAAGTGATTTCTTTATTTTTTAGGGAATCAAATCAGAGTTGAGAAAATGAAAGTTACAAACATCGACTCTGTAATAACTGCTTGGCTTTTCTTTTAATGGTTATTCACATGATTAACATTGGAAACTCTAAGTCAGGGTTACTGAAACTTACATTCAGTCGGGTATTAAATTGAATACAGTTTTAAGTCAAACTGTGCAGTTTGACTTGTCTCTATTGTTCCTAATCAGATTCAAAGATGATTTTTATTTAACTTTTTTTCATGTATTTATTTGCTTTGTGATCTAGTGCAGAAATAAATATGAAAAATGCAGTGCTCCCCCAGTGGAGCGGGTCTCCAGGCTCTACT